ATGTATCCTAAAACTACTACTCTTTTAGTCTTAGAATAAATGATGTTATTTTATTTTATTTTTGAATTAAGGATTTAGGAAGAATTTTTATTTTTCCTATTATACGATTAAAAAGAGAAATAAAAATAATTTTTTTATGGTAAGATTGATAATTAAAGTTAAAATATAAATCATAGGGTTAAAGAAGGAGAATAATATTTGTCTCCCATAATCTTATTAAGGATACTTTAATAAATTTATAAGGTAAACTGTATTTTTAATGTATAATGTCCTGTAAAATAATTTTCCTGTAAAATAATTTTACATTTTTTATCTATCTTCTTAGCCCATCTCAAAAAATTTACTAGATATAGTTAAAATTTCATGTATTTTTCAATTATTTTTATTGTTTTTGTTTTATTATTGTGTAATTTTGTGAGAAATAGAGGGATCAGGGTTAACCAGGGTTTATGATAAAATTTTTTAATTTTATTGGTTTTTTTATTTATTTCTTAAAAAAAATCAGTAGGATGTTAATTTTATCCTTCCCTTTTCCTATGTATATTTTGGACTTATGTGTATGTCTCTTGATCTATATGTTTTGGATTTGTGTAGTTTGTATGTGGAATGGAATTTAAGTTAATTTCTTAATTTTTGAACTTGTGAAATTTGATAGATTTGTATATACATCATATATGATTAGCTTTTTAGCTTTTTGGTTTATCATTGATGGAAATGGATCATAAAACAAGGTAATTAATCCTCAAAAAAAAAAACAAGGTAATTAGAAATTTGAAATTAGAAAGTGGCAACTTGAATGGGATATCAAGTTTGAAGGCCCAAAAAATGGCTACAAATCCTGAAGGCCCAAAAAAATGGCTACAAATCCCGAAGGCCCAAAAAAATGAGTGCAGTCAAAGCCGAGATCGAGGCTAACTGAACCGACTAATTTGGTTTGAGAACCGAAAAAATGAAGTATTATTTGGTTTAGTTTTTAGTTGCCAACTCACAAAATTCTCAACCGATAAAAACTGCCGCTTCGGTTTTAGTTCTAACCAAATTCAATTGATGCCCTTATGGGAGAGAGTGTAGTTGATGTAGGATCAAGCAAAAACTCAATACTAATTCTTCTTAGTTAATTTTAAGGATAGACTGTAATATTAAACTATTGTATTAAATAAAACTATACTCCTTTGTTTTACTTTAGTTATTTTATTTAGATTTTTTTTATTTTTTAGATATTAATTTTAAATAAAAATTTAATAAAATATATAAATGACAATTAAAAATTTTATTATTTTATTTATATAAACTCTATTTAGTATGGTTATGATTTTGAATTTATAATTTTGGTTTGAATAAATTTTGTAATTCAAAACAAAAAAAACATGTTTATTTTCATATGTTTTTGCAACATTTTATTATGATTATTACAAAAATAGTTTTAATATTATCAAATAAGTTAATATTTTTTAATTGCCAATGTTAAATTTGTTTTAAATAAAATTTTAATTTTTAATTTTTAGTTTTTAATTATTGTAACATTTATAAAAATTTTAAAAATTCAAAATCACAACAATACTAAATGAAACTGTAACTTTGATTGAGTGATTTTATTTATTTAATAAAAAAATTTTAAATGTCATTTATATATTAGCTTAAATCTTTATTTACAATTAATATCTAAAAATTAAAAAAATCAAAATTCGATAACTAAAATTCAACGGAAGTTGTATATTTACTCTTTTTTGAACATATTACAAATCTGTTGGGGAAAATTTGATAAATAAATCAATTAATTAATCAATCAATGTAGCTCTTTTTAGAAAACTTGATGTGTAAATAGGACGAAGAGAGTGAATTCTTGTCTTACTAGAAAAAATTGCAATTCAAAAGTAAAATCAATATTGAAAAAATAAAATTAATCAATTAAAAAAGAAATAGAAAGAAACGAGGGTCTGCACTTTGTGCATGCAACATAAGGGATGACACAATTGCGCTAAAAGATTTTTGCAGTTTCCTGCAAAAAGTTAAAAATTAAAAAATAAAATGTATTTTATAATTTCTTTATTTTAATTATCTAATTAGAGGTAATTTTATGTCTTATTTACATAGCATATGATTTAAATTTAAAATCATTATTTTCTAATTACTAAGTTACTTGAAATTATTAGTAAGTTACTTAAAAATCTTTATTTTCTAATTAATAAGTTACCTGAGATTATTATTGAATTATTAGATTATTAATAAGTATTTTGTAAAATATAATTTAATTTATAAATTTATTAAATTATATTAAAAACATTTTAATAATTTAAATTATAATTTTGATGTATAATTTAACTTATAAAATGTGAATCAAGTAAAAAAAAATAATAATAATAAATAAATAAATAAATCTCACATATCTCTCACGCACTTCAACTCCTCCTTGGCGAATTTGTCGAACCCTCCTTCACCGCCACCGAAATTCATTTCACCGTCGTTTTGTCGTAATCTTCCCTGCCGTTTTTATTACTTTCCCTTTTTTCACGCACCGCAACAACAGGCTTCTTCAAAACCCTGATTCTGCCACCGTTTTCTTCGTTCTAGATCAAGCGGCGTCGCTGATCAGTCGAATCGCCGCGAATCAAGCACCTTGACGGTCGGATGGTGTGTCCGTGCTCCAACGGGTTGCTTTGGGGGTGTTGAGTTTTTGAGGTGTTACTTTGCACCTGACGGGGTTGTTTTGATACTTTTTGATGGGCGATCTTCGGGATTGGTCGCCTGAACTGAACGGCGGTGTGTCAGAGGAGAGACCGTCGT